CTAAGACCCCACTTACCGCTATCTCCGAGACCGCTAAGTATAAGTAAAGTTGCTCGTCAGCCTTCGGGGTGTGAAGTAATGGTGGGCTCGACAGGTATCGTTTGAGTTCCTCCAAGGCCTGTTGACATTCCGGGGTCCATGCAAAATTGCTCTTTTTCTTAAGCAGTGAAAAGAACCGATGGCTCCTATCTGAGGACCTCGAAATAAATCGACTCAAGGAGGCTATGCGTCCTGTTAACCTTTGTACAACCTTGACATTATCAACAACTGTGATGTCTTCGATTGCCTTAATTTTATCAGGGTTGATTTCGATTCCCCCATTTGATACCATAAAGCCAAGGAACTTTCCCGAACTGGCCCCGAATGCACATTTCTCCGGGTTAAGCTTCATGTTGTACTTTTTCAGTATGTCGAAGGTCTCTTACAGATGTTTGAAATGGTCCTCTGCTCACAGGGACTTAACTAGCATATCATCAATATAAACCTCCATTGATTTACCTATTTGTTCTTCGAACATTTGATTTACTAGGCGTTGATAAGTAGCACCAGCATTTTTTAGTCCGAACGGCATTACATTATATCAATAGGTGCCGTATTTAGTGATGAACAAAGTCTTTTCTTGATCCTCCGGGTTCATTTGTATTTGATTATACTCGGAGTAGGCATCGAGAAAACTATGGATCTCATGGCCGGTCGTGGCATCGATCATGCGATTGATATTCGGCAAAGGAAAAGAATTTTTAGGGCATGCCTTGTTTAAATCCTTATAGTCTACGCACATTCTTAGTTTATTTCCCTTTTTAGGGACTACGACTACGCTTGCTAGCCATTTGGGATACTTTACCTCCTGAATGGACCCTATTTTGAGAAGTTTGGTTACCTGGTCCTTGATGAAGGCATGTTTAACCTCGGACTGGGGTCTTCTCTTTTGCTCTACCGGGCAAAAGTTCGGGTCCAAGCTCAGTCAATGCGTATGATCTCTGGTGGGATCCCTGTCATATCTAGGTGGGACCGAGAAAAACAATCCATGTTATCTAAAAGGAATTGAACGAGTTTTTTCCTAAGCTCGGGGGTTAACCCCGTTCCCAGGTATACCTTTCGATTGGGCAGATGCTCGATCAGTATGATTTGTTCCAGCTCTTCGACCGTTGACTTCGTTGCATCAGAATCGTCAGGGATTATGAAGGTTCGAGGTATCATATAATCATCATCCTCGAAAGCTTCCTGCTCCTCCGATCGGGCCGAGGCTGGTGACTGTGGTTGCTATTTGACTTCTTGCATTCTCTTTGATTCCGATTTCTTTGTTAATGAAAGCGATGATACCAATACTACTTCATCGATTGCAAACATTTCTTTGGCGGCGGGTTGTTCATCGTACACCGTTTTGATTCCTTCTGATGTTGGGAACTTCACGACCTGATGAAGCGTCGAGGGTACTGCCCTCATGTTATGGATCCAAGGCCTTCTGAGCAACACGTTGTACCTCATGTCGCCTTCGATCACATGGAACTTTGTTTCTTGGATGGTCCCGGCCATATTTTAGCAAAATAATTTCCCCTTTGGTGGTTTCACTTGCCATGTTGAAGCCGTTAAGTACCCGAGTTGTAGGCATGATTTGATCTTGGAGGCCGAGTTGCTCTACGACCCTTGATCGAATAATATTTGCCGAGCTACCTGGATCAATCAACACAGGTTTAACTTGAATTTTATTCATAAGGATAGATATTACCAGTGCGTCATTGTGAGGTTGTTCGATCCCTTATGCATCCTCGTCGTTGAAAGATAAGGTTTCTTCTGGCAAGTAGTCCCGAGTTCGCTTCTCCCTCGTGATTGTCACCTTGGTGCGTTTAAATACCGGCCCTTGAGGGATATCGACCCCACCAACGATTATGTGAATTACATGTTGAGGCTCTTCCTGCTCATTCTGTTTGTTTGAATCTCTGTTTTTGAAGTGGTTCTTGGCTCGATCACTTAGGAATTCTCGAAGGTGACCCTCGTTGAATAAACGAGCTACATCCTCCCTCAGCTGTCTGCAATCTTCGATTTTGTGACCATGGTTACCACGGTATTTGCATATTTGATTCGGGTTCCTTTGAGCTGGGTCGGTCTGCAGGGGCCTGGGCCATCTAGTATCCTTGATTCGTCCAATGGTCGATACAATACCCGGTGCATCGATGCTCAAGTTGTATTCTGATAGTCGCGGCGCTTCCGTGGGCTCGACATGTTTATCGAAGCCACTTTTACTCATGAGCCCTTGGGAGCTCTGTCCTCGATCATTACTTCGATCATTTCGAACGGGGTTACATCTTGGCTGCCGCTTCTACGATTTGCGATGTATGGTTGATACCGATCTCTATTCGATTGGGGTTCTTTATCGATGTCCGTTTGAATTCTACCAACGAGCCTATTTGGGTAAACGGAACCGGAAGGGGTTCCCAATTGATCATCCTCGACCCTGATTTTCGACTGGTATCGATTATGTACATCGGCCCAGGTTACAGCTGGATATTCAGTTAAATTTTGCTTTAGTTGTCGTGATGCTATCAAACTTCGTTCGTTCAAACCTTGAGTAAAACCTTGAACAGCCCAATCATCTGTGACCGGGGGTAGGTCCATGCGTTCCATCTGGAACTGAGATACGAATTCCCTTAGCATTTCGTTGTCCTCTTGTCTCACTTTGATGAGGTCCGACTTCCTAGTCGCAATATTTATTGCTCCGACGTGTGCCTTTACAAACGAATCTGCAAGCATGACGAAGGAATCGATGGAATTGGGCGGCAGGTTGTGGTACCATATCATCGCTCATTTCGATAAAGTCTCTCTAAACTTTTTCAACAAAAACGGATTCAATATCATCGTCTTCTAAGTCATTCCCCTTTATTGCGTAGGTATAAGAAGTAACATGCTCATTAGGGTTAGTGGTCCCATTGTATTTGGGAATTTCTGGCATGCAGATTTTTTTCGGGATGGGCTTCGGAGCTGCACTTGGAGGGAAAGGCTTCTGCACGAAATTCTTCGAATCCAAACCCTTTAGAATCGGTGGCGCCTCCGGTATTTTATTGACCCGGGAGTTGTATGTTTCTACCTTTTATCATTTGCCTTGATTTTTTTTTCTCCTGATTCAATCCGTTCAGTGAGATCCTTGAGCATCTTCATAATGGCGGGGTCAGTCCCCGATTTAATGGCATTCGATTTCTCCGGTACAGGTTCGGCTCTATGAACAACTTCTTGTGATGTCTCGAGCTCAATTCTGCTTGGTGCTCGATTCTGATTTTGGAGTTGTGCTATCGCAGCTTGTTGAGTTTGTAACATTTCGAATATCATTCGAAGGCTAATTCCGCCCTTTTCACTGCTTTGTGCGTTCTGATCGGTTGCTCGGGCATCTCTGCGGATGCTATTTCTAGGGTCGATGCCCAAATTTCCATTAATGGCAATATGGGAGCTGACATCGACTGGGTCTACGGCCGGTGGTCCGTCGGGGTTGACTGGAGGTACTCCGTTTTCCGGGGCGACTATGTTTTCGTTCTCGCCATGAAGACCAAGGCCATTGTCTGTGTGAGTGGGTGCTCCTTGAGAGTTTGACATGTTGATTCCTGAAATCAAAGACACTTACGAGAACAAGCGTAAACCAGTGTGTGGTATGGGAATTTATACCAGGCAATCACTATTATCCTTAGCCCCACGGTAGGCGCCAAACTGTTTACCCTTAAAATTGGATAACAATTAAACTTATAATGTGGTTTTAAGGACACGTGATTTCACCTAATACCAATTGTCGAATATGAAAATCAATGATAGAAATTAATAAGGAGATAAAGCAAACCGGTGTTGAAACGTAATTCAGCCCTCGAGCTCGAATCAAACTGGTCGGTGCCCGAATAATTAAGAAATAAGCAAGCTAACGAACAAGAATATAAGCTAGACAAAAAATATTGTATTGCTTTGATATGCGTGAATGTAAAGTGATTACAAAATGATTAGAACCCTCTTTATATAGTAGAGGAATCCTATCTATGGTACAATTCTAATTGCGGAAGTAAATCTCATGATTAGCCTAAATAACCGCCCTTGATTTGATCAGTTCCGAGATTATTGCCATGATCGTCGACCAGTCACGGATATCTCGCCTTTCCGTTATTATGCAGTCATCGATCTTGCCCGATGTCTGTCCCATTTGGCCTCGATCTCAACAGGCATCTCGAATCTCGAACTCGGTACCCAGTCTTCGTGCCTTGGTGCCCAGTCTTCGATCCTTCACCCTGGTCCCAGTAAATCAGTAAAATCGAGTGGGCCCGATTTTAGCCGTATAGAAAGATAATTGGTTGCTCTATCTGTGAGTTACCATTTAATGCTTTGCGAAGAGAATTTTCAGTTGTTAAAAACTTCTATCGTGCTCCTGTCTTTTCCGCTGCCATCTTCGGTGGATGCGCCCTTCACTTTCCCCTAAAAATTAGCCCAACAATTCTTATCAATATTGACGCCAATTTAATTGGGCGAAGTGCACAAGATTTTAAGCTTACTATTTAAAATATATTCGCAATTTATAATGTATTTAACAAATTATCCAATTCACCAAACTTCAGTATCATGAATTTTTGAGCTACTAATTTGAAATTCAAAATTAGACGTTCGATATTTCTGAACTGCTAATTTAAAATTCAGGACATAAGATTCAAATTTCTGGACAGGACACGGTGTCCTGAAATTTGAACCTTGAGGTTTAAACTTTAGGACGTCGTGTCTTGACGTTTAAGTGAATGGCTAATTTTTATATATATTGTAAACTGTGGATATGTTTTAAACAACAATACTTAAAAGTGGCTACCTCGCGTCATTTTCACAATTTAATTGATGAGGAAAATTCAATTTTTGAGAAAGGAGAAAAAAGGGAAAAAGAAAAAAGAACTCGAAGAGTCAACTCTAGTCTTCTTCAAAAGCCAATATAGAGAGTCCACAGGGTAGAAGTACCGACGCGATAGCAGATTTATTAAGGTATATTTTCTTACTTATTGCTCTCTTTTCCCGTTGATTTACTTTAATTGCACGTTTATCATTAATCGTAATCTTCAATAATGATCATTCAACTGTTCGCTCAATGTATATCAGTACTAAGAATCTAGGGTTTTATATGCTTATACGTAATTTGTGGTTTTCGTTTCGATCAGCTATTATATGATTGTTTTGATTTGCTCGTAAGAGAGTTTGCTGTAACTTCATAATTGATTGATCCTATCTTATTCTGCGAAATTGGGGTTTGGGTTTTGTATACTCTAATTTTCGCAACTTGTCCGCTCCTTTTCGTGGAGTAGTCATATTTGTCTTTATTGCTGAATTATTTATGAATATATGTCAGGTAATTGTTAAGCTTTAATAATTTATGCGCTGAGTTTCGCTAACAGAAGGCATTAAATGAAATTCTTTAAGAAAGAAATGGTCGTTTGAGCAATTAACTGTTATCCCTTCTTGTTTGCTTTTTCCAAGACTGTTTTTTTTCCTTCCATCATTTGTTATTCTGCTAGCATATATTTTTCATTTTAAGTCCTGATTTAAAGAAAGGTTTACGGCTATAATCCTATTATACATAGTTTTCTCCATCTTTTATTGTTATCTTGGCTGAGTTGTTTGGAATTGGTAGGATTAAGAATGTATTCTACAACTTTGGTTTAGAAACCCAGCAGGAAGAGTTGGAGGCATTGTGGTTATCATTAGTGATAGGAGATTGGGAAAAACTTAAAGAAGACTACTGTTGCATTGTCCTGACCTTTCAGTGACTAAACTGTAATTCCTGCTTTTTTATGGATGCTTCTTATGACTTTGTGGTGAAATTTGATAATTCTTAAGTATTTTTGTCCCCCCTGTAATACTGTGTAGGTTTTGTCTTGTACCCTTTGTTGTGTCATGCTTATATGTCGTGGAATGGTGTACTACTGACGATTCAAATGTTTCTATCTTCTTCCAGATCTATTGGGAATCAACATCTTATGTACTTTTAGAAGTCTAACTTTTACAGACGAATTCTTACAGAAAATTAGATTCACTTCTCTGCTTTATGTGATTGGTATGTACCTTGGATAACATTTATACTAGAATCTGATGTTGGAATTCGGCGCTTCTTTAAATATATCAACTAGCATCTTTTCAAAGTGATCCTGGTGAAATAGCATGTGGCTAGTCTCTGTCTAGTGATTGCTTAGGGGTAAGAAATATGAAATATGGAAAATAGTTCTGCCTATGCCATAAATAATATTCACCTAATGACTGACTAGTGGTCCAATTGAATACAATTTTTTTTTTTTTTTTTTGCATTATATATTTTACTGCGATCTCATTGTGGTATGGTCTCAGAGATATTTCTGGCTTACGTGAAATGCAATGTTCTCCTAGTCATCAGCAAGCTCCAATTTACAACTGTACTAATCTTTAGCATTTGTTGTACCAGAAAACGTATGCTTCTATGGTATAAGTTTGTGCATCTGAATAGGAAACAATTTTACTGCCTGAGATAGGGTCTGTTCCAGGTAAAACTAAACAAGAAAAACTGTTTAAAAATTGAACAAGAATAGTAAAAAAGAGAATAAGAATAGTAAAAAAGAGAATGAAAAAGGTAAATATAAACTGGTTGTTGTATCTAGAAAAAGAACATGTTAAAGATTCTTTGTGGGAGATTTCATTTGCTTAATAGAAAAATAAGAGCACAACTGTAAATCTCCCACAAAGAATCTTTAACATGCTTTTTTTAATCCTTATAAAAAAAAGAACATGTTAAAGATTCTTTGTGGGAGATTTCATTTGCTTAATAGAAAAATGAAACTAGTAGTTGCAAACTTTCTGAAGTGATTATTCGAATAATGTGTTCTATTATTAATTTGAGTATTGCTGTTTGACAGTGGAGCGTGCAATAATGGATCGTGGAAAAAGGCCAGGCCGGTCGCTTGCTGCACGGAATAATCAGATTTATATGGATCTTAAGGACATCGTCAGGGAACATGCCCTTCCCTTCCTGCCTGCCAAATCACTTTTCAGATTCACCACTGTTTGTAGGGACTGGAGACTCCAGATTTCCTCTCCATTTTTCGCCCACAATCAGTCACTTTCCTGTCGCAGTACATCAGGCCTCTTTCTCCAGACTCCTGGTGGTTCTCCTTCTCTCTTACCCATCGGCGCAAACTTTTGTGGGGTTCCAGATCCATTCCTTAGGTTTTTGCCTGAGCCTGTCGACATTAGGTCCTCCTCTAATGGACTGCTTTGCTGCCAAGGTCATGGAGCTGACAAGGCCTATTACATATGTAATCCCGTTACTCAGCAGTGGAAGAAACTTCCGAAATCAAATGCTAATCATGGATCAGATCCAGCAGTTGTGCTCTTATTTGATCCATCGTTGCTCAACTTTGTCGTAGAGTACAAAATTATCTGTGCATTTCCATCCACAGATTTTGATGAGGCAACAGAGTTTGAGATATATTCCTCCAAAGAGGGTTCCTGGGAAATTGCCGGAGAGATCTGTTTTGGAGCTAGGAGGGTTATACCAAAATCGGGGGTTCATGTTAATGGTGTTGTTTACTGGATGACAACTGGTAGTATTCTTGCTTTTGATCTAACCAAAGAGAGGTCACAGCTCCTTCAAGACTATGTCGCTCGTGGGATTTTGGGGGCTTTTAGTGGAAAGCTCTGTAAGGCTAATGTCTCTGGTAATTCAATCATTCTATACGTTTTGGCTAATGCCCATTCAAATACGATGCAAATGGGAAGCAACACCAGAATGTGGTCAGAGAAACAGCAGATTGTTCTTGACAGTAAAATTGTTGGGGATGTAGCAAGGGACTACTCGGTCTTACATGTTGATGGTGATATAATGGTGGTTCATAGCAGGGAAAGAGTGTATTCATATGACTTCAAATCTCGTGCAACAAAAGCTATGAGCAATGTATCCGACATTTATAATATGCGATGCTTGCCCTATGTGAACAACCTTGTCTCTCTCTAATCTGCCTTGGCTGCTATAGAAGGTTCTTTGTTCGGAGCTGCAACCATCTTATTGGGGAACACAAGCTGTGTTTTCAGAAGAATGGTTGTCCCAAGGGAATTATATTTTTGGTGGTGTTGCGGTCTCTTATATCCAGCATTGCCCCTTCTCTATTCATTAGACTAGTTTTCTTATTAGTAACTTACTAGAATACCAGCTTGTGGTGGACTACTATCTTAGTAGAAGATCTTATTCAAACTCAGTGACTACTACTTTCTTGTCTGTGCTAACTTTTATGCTCTAACTCCCAAGTGTTTCTTCCCTTTTGTGCAGTTTAAACGTATTCGTGTTGTAGAATTACAGCTTGTGGGGTACTAGATTGAGATAGGTGTTCGTCCTTGCTTGTAAAGGTAATGGGCATACACTGTCAACATATGACTTACACCCATATTCTTATTCCCTTTTTAGTTACGATTTTACCATGGACCAATTATTTTTCCAACTCACATAATTGTGGCACCAACTGTGAGCACGTGATTTTTGCCTCGCTTAAGTTATTCCTATAAAATTCATAAAATTAGGATTTTTCTTTTATTATTTGATTTTTAGAATTTAATTGCATGATTTTGTGATTGTTTGCATTTTTGTGTGCATTTTAGTTGGCATAATTCATAAAAATACCAAAATAGTACATTCGCATCTAAAATTTGATTTTTATATTTTTAGTTCTACCAATTAAATAATATTACCAAAGTAATAGAAGAAATAACAAAATAGTCATTTTTTTTACATTTTTTGGTTTGACTTTCTTTTGAATTAGGATTTAGTTAGTTTTAGAAAATTAATTAGTGCAATTTTGGAATTAAATCATGTCTATTAATTTTAATTTTATATTTGACAAAAATCTAAAAAAAATTGAAATGAAAATGAAAGAAAATAAAAGAAAGGAGAATAAAAGAGAAGCAAAGCAGATTGGGCCGTTCATTGCGGAACAATTGATGGCCCAGTCTTTAAAAAAACATTGGACCAACCCAAGCCCAACCCCAAGACCACCCGGTCCAATCGCCCCATGTTCAAAACGACGTCGTTTTGACGTCGTTTAATCCAGACCATCCATCCCCTCTAATCCAACGGCCTGGATTGATTCTCGAATTATAATAAAACTGTCCTAAAGTTTGAAAACCCTAGAGACCAGCCCCCCCTTTCCTCGTACCCCTGTCCCTCTCCGCCTCTACCACCGTATCTTCGCTAGAACTCTCGCCGGCGGGAAACGACTTCCATGCCAAAAATCATCAGAAAAACACCATAGATGCTCCCTCTTCTCCTCTTCCCAACCCTCACGATGGTTTTCTCCGAATCATAGCCAATCTCGTCGAATATTCCATCGAAGATTTTCCGGCCAAATCACAAGTTGGCCCAAATGAACCCAAAATCATACCAGGCAACCGTCTTCCTTCCCTCATCGCTATTGCACGCCTAGAATCCCTCGAATCCAAGCAGAAGGCCTGAATTGTGGATCTAGAGTTTTTGGAATTGAACCTGTTTTGAGGATTTTCAAAGTCGAGTGAACTCAGGTTAATATTATAGGTCTATTTCTTATGAAATGGACGTATAATATTAACTTGAAGTTAATTTCGAAGGTTTTTATGAAGGGCAAATTTCAGTAAGTGTTTTTCTCTGTCTTTTCTTTGGTTTTAGTTTAATTCAATTAAGCATGTTTTAGTTTCCAATCTAGGTTAGCATGAATTCATCTTTTTGACTGTTATAAATATTTAGGTTAATTTCTTTTTCTTTGTTAAATTCTGGTTCGGTTTTAATTAGTGTGAATAATTCAAATATTAAATGGTCCGATTAGTTATTAGTTTAATTAGGTTGCTTATTTGTTCCGTCCATGAGGCACTGAATTAGTATTTGGCCTTAATTCTAGTAATTAGTTTAGTTCTACATGTTCAATAGAAGTTTTAGTTCAGTAGTATACAATTTAAATCCCTTTTAAATCTGTTTTAATAAGATTTTAGTTTGTTCACATTGGCTTTTATCTGTTCTGTTTTTCTGGAATTAATTTGGGTTGATTGCAATTCATGAGTTTGTTTGTTAGCTGTTAATCCAATAATAGTGTAATTTGATATTGGTTTTGAGTTGGCTTAGTGATTGGTTATACCTGCTGAAGGATTAATGGGGATAGTAATTTAAAAGGGGTTTCAGGGGTAGTATAGGCATGAAAAAGGGTAATTTTATTAGAAATAGTAATTTCAGAATTAATACAAGGGTAATTTAGGGATTTCAATCATGAAAAATCAGAATAGAACCCCCTAGGACTTTCTAGAAGGGGTTTTGAACTGAAAATTCATAAAATAGGTGTAGTTACTTGTGTAACAAGTCAGGAAATAAGGGGTAAAAATAGAATTAAAATAGGGACTAAAGGGTAAAATGAAAACCTGAAATTATACCCTAAGTTTGCCTATAAATAGGCATTCATTTGCCTTGCACAAGAAGTTTTTTTTTGGAGCCTCTAAAAATCTTCCAAAAGTTTTAGACCTCTAAAATTCCCAAGTTTTCAGAAAACTGAAATTCAAATTTCAGATTAGAAGACTAGATCTGAAATTTGAAACTCTTCTTCATCTGAAAAATCTGAAAAAAATAGACAAAAGCAACAAAAATCAAAAAAAGAAATCTCCTGTTACATTAGTTTTCTTATGGTCATTTTCAGAGTTCAGCATTTAATTCAAGTTTTAGCTCAATTAAAGTCCAAAACCGCTTGAATTCCTTTGTTTCTATTTGGTATTTGAGGGCTGAAGGTAATTTGGGTCATCTAGGCTTTGAATCTGATTGAATCAAGTTGACTATGGTGATATGTTAAGTGTGTGGATGTGCTGGGTCAATCTTCTGGTTATTTGACTTTCTACTGAGTCTACTTGGTTTTCGACTAATTTTCGAACTGCTGAATCTTTGCTGGACTGTTACTACACTTCATTGATTGCTGCTGGGAATTTAAATTGGTTTCTGAGTTGCTGCTGAAGTTATACTGCTGCTAACCTCTCCATTTCTTGTTTCATTTCAACTTTCAGGTACACATTTGAATTCTCATTGATGTAGTTTTGAATTGGAGTGAAATGAAATCAGTTTCCAGATCTATGCTCGTTTGATTTTTATAGTTGTAGTCTAGCAAATGATGTGTAGTTATATAGCTTTAGTTAATTTGTTGGTGTTATACCTGTTTAATCGGAACTACTTCTGGATTGTTATGACTGTTTGATTCGTATGGACTGTAATGGATGGTATAAACAGTACCTTTCCGGTTCATGAGAGTTAACATTTGATTTGTTTTCAGTAGTTATAAAAATAGGTTCAAATGGATCTGTGTTTTCAGTCTGCTATTCGATGGTTCTGTTATGAAGTCGTGAGTCACTTGGGTGATTGATATTAGTTCAAAGTAGTCTGAAAATAGTGTTAAATCTGTTCCTATATAGTGTTAAACGAAGTCAAGTAATTAAGCCGCTACTGTTGTTGCTAGAGTTGATTCATGATTCTGTTACAATTTTCAACTTTAGTAAAATAGTCACCAATAGATAAAAAATTAAGATAATATGAGCATGAGATGCACTTCAAATAGTCAGTGCTTAATTAATTCTGGGGTTCGATCTTTGATCACCCCTGCGTTGCCTGACTTGCCTGTCCGAGTTGGGCCAGTTTCAAGCCCAGGCCCAAAAATGCTGGAAATCGAGATCCTTTAAAAAATTGTATTAGGAATATGGGGATTAATTTGCAATATAAATTCAAGTTTTCGAGTTAGGTAGAGGGTTCAAATTAAGAGGGTCCTCCCTTTTGTTTGAATTCGGACTTGAACTCGAGACTTGAATTTATAAATGCAAATTAATTAGGCCCTTTTAGAGACAAAAAATAAATAGAAAATCTTAGTTTGCTTTAAGTTGGCCTTTAAATAATAAAAGTGGGACGAGCCTCGCCAAATAAAAATGCATAAATTGCGGGGCCCTCATTAAATGCTTTATTAAAAATATTTTAGAAATTCGGGACACGCCATTTAGCGAATTTTCATGGCTTCCCGCCAAGTTAATAAGACGCTAGCCACTTTAAGCGCGCTTTTAATAATTTTACTTTCCTAAACTCGGGTGCGCATTTCATGCAACCCAAATCCAAATCCCAAAACGTTGAATAAGAGGTGTTTAGGATCCGGGTGCATTTCATGTGACGTGATCCAAAAACACGCTCTTAAACGGCGTTCACTTTCGTAAAAACAAAATAAACTAAAAGCGGTAAATAATCTTAAAATTGCACTATGGGTTTAAATATGTATAAAAACCAGATTTTAGCCATTTATGATAATTTAAGCGACCGTGCTAGAACCACGGGATCCTGGGGTGCCTAACACCTTCCCTCGGGTCAACAGAATTCCTTACACAGAATTTCTGGTTCGCAGACTCCAATTGGGAAGTCGAAATTTTCCTCGATTTGGGATTTAAATTAAATCGGTGACTTGGGACACCAAAAGCTGATCCTATCCCAAGTGGCGACTCTGAAAAATAAATAAATAATCCCATTTCGAATAATGTCACTTTAAATGGAAAAACTCCCTTATACATTCTCCTTCGGGGTGAGTGTGTAAAAAAGGAGGTGTGAAACCAACAAAGAGAGAACAAGTAGAAGAAAAATGAAAACAGCCCTCCATCGAGGAAACACAAAAAGAAATATAAGCAGCTCGTAACTCGTAAGGTAAAAGTTGAAGGATCGATGTGTACGTTTCATGGTTTTATAAATACATCTCACATAATCTGATTTTTTTTTTGTCTTAATTAACCCCTCTCCAAAATATGTTTCTCAAATTTTAAATTGGCCATCCTACGTATTCCTGAGTTTATATTAATGTGACCCTATACTTTTCATGTCAGTAGTTTAGGTTGCATAAACTAGGGTGTACAAAGAAAACTGATAAATAATTCGAGTCAAAACGGAAAAAAAAACGATTTGGTTTGATTCGGTTTGGTATTGGGCAAAAAAACCCGACCATAATTGGTTTGGTTTGGTTTTAACTAAAAAAAGTCAAATCGAAACCAAACCAACCCAACTTTACATTTATACATTTTTAAAAAATATTTTGTACATATAAATATTTATTGTAATGTAATTTATAAATATTTCTTCAACTTTTTCACAGTTTTATCTTTTACTGTGTTATTTCAAACTTGGACTTAACATTGAGCAAAAATTCATTTATAGCTACTTGGGCCAAATTTATAACACCCTGTAGCCACAAAATGAGGGGAAAGTGCATGGTTAGCCACTAATAACACATGCATTTACTTTTAAGCCACTGTTTAAAATGTATTTAGTCTTTA